AACCACTAGTACATGTTTGCAGTATATAATGATTACATTTTTTGAGAGGAATTGGTCCACATACATTACACATCTTAATTTTTTTATGACCTTTCCCTCTCCTCTCTTCCTCTCCCTCCATTTCTTGGTCCTCTTTTGCAAAAGGTCTATCTCCCTGTTTCTTATTATCTATCTTTTATTTTTCTCTTTAATTTATTTATATTTTGGGTTTCTTGTCTTTTTGTTTTTCTTTTCTGTATTTTTGAGGCAGGGTCTCACTATGCAGTTCAGGCTGGCCTTGAGCTCACTTTGTAGACCAGGCTGGTCTCGAACTTGCAACAATCCTCCTGCTTCAGCCTCCCAAGTGCTGGGAGTACAGGCGGGTACCACCACGCCAAGCTGGCTTCTTCTATAGGAGAAATCATGTCCTGTTTAAGCATGTGTGCCTGACTTATCTTACTTAATATCATGGCCTTAAGTTGTAACCATTTTCTTACAAATGACCCACTGTTATCTTTCTTTATTGGCAGAGTATTGCCCCTTTTTCTTTATCTGTTTACCTGCTGATGGACATATAGGTTGACTCCAAGATTTAGCTACTATGAATTGTGTGGCTATAAATGCGGGTATGCATGTTGCACTGCACAACTCTTTCAGGAAGATTCCTAGAAGGACAATTGCTAGATCAAATAGAATTTCTCCTTTTAGTTCTTTGAGGCCTCTCTATATTATTTCCGTAGTGATTGTACCAGTTTACACTCCCACCAACAATATAGAAGGGTTCCTTTTTACCCACAGCCTCACTGGCATTTGGTCTCATCTGATTTCTTGATGAGGGCCATTCTTTCTGGAATAAGATGCAATCTTAGGGGCTGGGGAGTTAGCTCAGCGGCAAAGCTCCTGCCTGGCAAGCGCAAGGTCATGAGTTCGATTCCTGGTACCAGAAGAAAATAAAAATAGATGCAATCTCAGTGTTGATTTAATTTCCACTTCTCTAATGGCCAGGGCTATTGAACATTTTTTCTTATATTTATTGGCCACTGGTAATTCTTTATTTGTATATTTTAACTGTCTTCTTGCAACAGATGTGAACTCCTGAGGTATTGCTTAACTGCAACCTAATGCCTAGGGTAATTGAGTGCAAAATTGGTGCTCAGTGACCATTTCTTGATTGACCTAAGTTTGTGGTGTGGTCTACACTGTACAGCTGAGGAAACTGAGGCCCATAAAGCTGAAGTGGTCTTGCTGAGGCTGCATGGCAAGGATGGGGTCACCCTAGAACTGGAAACCAAGTGTTCTGATTCTCCTATTACCTGGTCATTATTCCACCACTGCCTCCTCACTCTTTCTATGGGACTCCAGACCATCTAGAGAGAAGGGCTCATGTGCAGTACCCGGAGCCCTGGGTCTGAAATCCCACACGCAGCTTCCATTACCCTCTTTTACCCCTTAGTGCCTATGTAACTTCCAGAAAGTTACTTTTCTGAGGCTCAGTTTTTCAGCGATGTTAGGAAGACTCACGGAGGCCACCTGAGAAAGGAACCCAGCCTGCTACCCTTTGGCCTTTAAGGAAGGCAATTGTCTGCTAGGAAGATCATCAGTGTCCTGGAACCTTCTAGAACATTGTCCATCTGTGGGTACCCAACAGCCTCTGTCTGGCTACTGAACTGTGACCAGTGGAGCTAACCCTGAAAGGGTGGGAAACACTTGCAGGACAGTTGATGCGCACTGTCTAGGTGGAGGAGAGGAAATGAAAGAAGGGTGGCACCCTCGCAGAGGCACACATGGGCAGACGAAATCATGGGGAACAGTGGTGCTTTGGGAAGATTCCAGGTCAGGCAGAGATCAGCAGTTCAACTCTACTATTGAAGGATTTGCTGGTGATCTTGGGCAAGACTTTGTCTCTGGTTCTCGATTTCCTCCTGCATATTGCAAAGGCCAACTCTTTGAATGGCCCCCACCGGCCCTGCTATCCTCCCTGCTTGCCATTCATAGCTATTCCTTGATCTATACAGTGCTCCTTGTAATGGAGACAAAGAGATCCACAGTTGCTCAGGAGCAGGGCAACTAAGCCGGCTGGTTCTACTATGGAACACAGTCCTCACACTTACCTTGTGCAAGACACTTTGCCAACTTGACACCTAGGTTTCTGGCTTACAACCTGGAACTACAGAGCCTGCTTGTGCTTTCCTCCATCAGTGCTGTGCTGCAGAAGGAAGGTCTTGGGGAGCCATGAAGCATTGGTTTCATTGTGTTAACCCCTCTTAGGGACTCAGTTTCAGACAGAGTGGTACAAAGGGTAGAGAGCAGTACACAGGATATGGAGGAAAATGATGCAGTGTCTCCTATAAGGGCCTTGCTGAAGCAGTAACTTTTGTCCCTCTAAGTGAAACCTTATAACCTCTTGTTCCCATAACATCCTGTTATGCCCCAGCAGGACTGCCGAGATACAAAACTGTCACAACTCGAAAAACTGCCTTTGTTCTCCTTCTGCCCACCCACAAGTTCCGTGCCAAAAACCAGCCCCTTTGACCAAATGCACAAAAGCTGAATCTGTCCTCTGTCCTTTGCTCAGCCATTTTAGGTTTACCAGCTAATCCGGTGTACACATAAAATCAGAATAAAATCCTCCTGTTTCCCACTTGGCCTTTCCTGTCTCTTAAATTCCACAACATTGCCACACTGTGCACCTAACCGCTGTGGCACCCAGAGAGGGTATTGTGGTGGGGCTACACTGTGGCAGAACACAAAACTGTCTCATCTGGCAGTGGCCTCTTTCACCAGGCTGACCAAGGGCCTGGTTTACAACATCTTGGCACCCAGGCTGTGTCCGTACAATGTCAAAAGACCTATCACTTGTGCCTCCCTCACACATGGATGAAAATATGACAACTTCTGGAAAACTTTAGGACTCACACCCTTGTCTGTGTATTCTCTGGGGGTGGGGAGGAAGAGAGGAAGGAAGGAAGGGAATAGCAAGAGGGGGTGTAAAAAGGGAGGAAGGTGGGATCCTCCCCCCACTAGTGGAAATTTGAGGAAGGGAAGGAACAGCAGAAGATGGTGTGAGAAGGGGGAAGGTGGGATTTCCTCCAAATGATTGAAATTACAGGGTGGAAGGAAGGAAGGAAGGAGGAAAGGAAGGAAGGAAGGAGGAAAGGAAGGAAGGAAAGAAGGAAGCAAGGAAGGGAGGGAGGAAGGAAGGGAAGGGAACTGCAGCAGGGCATATGGGAACAAGAGGAGGAGTGTGAGAAGGCTGGGGGTTCTGCTTTAAAAAAGGAACTCCTCTTGGTGCATGCTGACTAAGCAGCCGGGAGTTGGGCAAGGCTGCAGTTCCCACATCATAATTGCAAGAAAAGGGGTGAGTCATCACGGGGAGGCCAGGGAAGCAAACTACACTTGAGGGCAGGTGGTGGTCAAGAAAGAGAGCGAGAGCCTGTGACCAAACTGCCAGCTGGCATTCTATGTTGCTGCTGATCTGGTTTTCTTCATAGAGTCTGCCGAGCTGTGCTGGCAACTGGCTCTCTCTGTGCCTACCTACCATTGTACGGAAGGGAAGGTGCTCATGGCTGGCAGGTGCACACGCTGCTCACCACAGATCATGTCCAATTAAAAGATGGTGTAACTTCAAGAAGAATAGGAAATCACTTTGGGTAAAGATGAACATATTTTGTGCCAGGATGCTCTAAAATACAGAGAAGCATTAAAGATGTATCAGTATTTGCCTTAGTCTAATGCAGATGTATAGAACACTATGTCTAACAATCACAGAATAAACAAGCCTCTCATAGGTGCATGGGATACTGATCTAGGTAATATGTGCTCTGGGTCATAGAACAAAATTTACAAACTGCAAAGGAGAAATAATAGTATGTTATCAAAACATGATGGAACCAAACTCTAAGTCAGAAACAGAAAGTTATTTAGGAAATGCTAAAATACTGAAAACTTTTATAGATGCTCACAAACAATTGTACAGGTAGGTCTGAAGAGAACGAATTCATTTGATTGAAGGTACGTAAGATATAACTTTATTTGAATCGGTAGTTCCATTAAAAAGTAATATATACCTGAACTTCTACCCTCAAATTTCAAGCAGTAGGAAGATCTCACCATCCTCCCTTCTCACACTCTTTCTTCTGTTCCCATCCCCCTCCTGCAGTTCCCTTCCTTCCTTTCTTCTCTCCTTTCACGCTGAAATTTCAATCAGTTGGAGGAGATCCCACCTTCCTCCCACTGTTCCCTCCCTCCCTTTTCCCCTCCCTCCCTCCCTCTTCCTTCCTCACATTTCCATCAGTAGGAAGAGGATCCCTCCTTCCTCCCTCCTCATGCCCTCCTGCAGTTCCTTTCCTCCCTCTGTCCCCCTTCTTCTCACCCTCCCTCCTTTCCCCCCATCCCTCCCTCATTCCTTTCTTCTTTCCTCCCTCAAATTTTAATCACTGTGAGAAGGAACCCACCTTCTTTCCTTCTCACACCACTGCTGCTGTTCCATTCTTCCCTTCCTCCTTCCCAGACTCCCTCCCTGCCTCCCTCCCTGCCTCTCAGCCTCGTTTCCTTCCTTCCTTCTTCCCTCCCTCCATTCCTTGCTTTCTTCCTCTTGCACTTCCTCCCACCATCCCTCCCTCTCCTATCCTTCCTCACTCCCTCCCTTCCTGCTTTACGCTCTTCCTCCCTCCCTCCATTCCTCCTTCCCTTCATCCTTCCCTTCTTTCCTTCCTCCCTCCCTCCATTCCTCCTTCCCTTCATCCTTCCCTTCTTTCCTTCCTCCCTCCCTCCATTCCTCCTTCCCTTCATCCTTCCCTTCTTTCCTTCCTCTCTCCCTCCCTTCCCTCTTCCCTCCTTCCCTTCTTCCTTTCTTTCCTTCCTCCTTCCTATCGTCCATCCCTCCCTCCCTCTCAACCTCCCTCTCCCTTCCTTCTTCAAATTTCCATCCCTCCTTCCTTCCTTCTCACCTGCTCCTGCTGTCCCCCTCCCTCTTTCCTCTGTTCCTCCCCACCCCCAGAAAACACTCAGACACACATTCGCAGGGTCGCAGAGGCAAGTTTTATTGCACCATCACTGGTAGGTTTTGGTGTGCAATTTTCCGACTACCTCAGCAGCTCAGTTGTGGTGCACAGACCTTGGACCACTTCTCAGATTATACCCAGTTCTGTGGCCTCTCAGGCCCCTAGACTCTCCGATCTTCTTCTCAGGGACTGAGGTTCCCTGGTCTTTGGTTCTCTTCCGGCCCCTCTGGGTGGGGTTTCAGCCCCTCTTGGCCTGGGATTTTTGGAGCAGCACTGGTGAGCAGCACTGGGGGCGCTGAACTTGCCCGCACTCTCTTGGACTCGCTCCAGGGCATCTTGCTTGCCATTGGGCTCTTCAGACAGGTGATAATGGCCTGACCCTGCTGCCCCCTCCTTCTGTTCCTTTTCCCAGCCTGTAGATGGGGTCTCTGGGCTCTCCTGCCTCACCTAGTCACCTGGAAGGACACAATTATATCAAAGAACAGCACTGGTTTGGGAGAAGAAAGATGATGACTGACAAGAACAGGTGCTTCGTGAGAAGGGGCAAAGTCTGAGGAATGGGCACAAGTCTTGAGGGAAAGGTTGTCAAGGGCCACAAGCAGAGGAGCTTCAGTGGTTTACTCACCTTTCTTTAAGTTTCTGTGCTGAAATTGACTTTCTCTTCTTTCGCAGCAGGGTTTGTGGGCCTACTCTTTCAGTAGCTTTACACTCTTGCCTTGTTTTCCAGATGGACTTCCAGTGATCTGTTCCAGATGGGCCTAACTTCCTTTTATATAGCTGTCCCTAAGGCGGCCACATCCTTGAGTTTTGCTTGGTTAACAAGTGATCAGCCAATGACAGCCCTGGGGGACGGGCTGAGACACCACATAATCATCATCGGCATGGGGAAGGTAGGAGGGTATGATGAGTACAGCACGTATGGTAGAGAAGGGAGAGATCTGCTTAGCATACCCCAAAGCTCTGCCGCACTTATCTTCCATACTTTTTATTCCCCGATCCTCACTATCAATGTATTACCAGGCAGGGAGAGAGTAATTTCTCTACACTCTTCCCAAGGACACCCCTTGCAGTGGTACATTCTCTTCCTTCCAGGCCTCCACTATTACTTAGTGTGTGTCTTACCTAAAAGTTTCTCCCCGCTAACCTGTTCATATCCAAAAAATATGTGGAGATTTCTTCATCCTTACATCCTAAAAATTACTCTTCTGCACTTTGAGACTATGTTGACTATCACCCAGTTGTTCCTCCCTTCCCTTTCTCTTTTGTCTATGGATATCCCCTTATCCTTTCAGGCGTCCTTCACAGTGCATGAATAGACTGGCTGCAGCAGATACCCTAGCCTTGTTGACAATCAGTGTTCCCAGCTTATGTGTATCACTCTTAGTAATTTTTCTTGTCACTGTACAAGATACCCCACACACAGTTTAAAAGAAGTTAGGTTTTTTTTTAAAACTTCTGCTTTTCGTCCATAGTTGGCAGACCCCTTGGCAGAAAGGCCTGACAGAGGCTATGGCAGAGGAAACCGCTTCATGTCATGGTAGCTAAGAAGCAGAGACAGAGATCAGAAGAGGAGCCAGGGAGGAAAGTACATGCATCCAGCTCACATCACCAATGACATTGCCCTTTCTCACCAGTCCCCACCTCCTAACATCACAGTTTGTGCTAGCTCCTACGTTGTCTAATCTTCTCCCAACAGCCCCACCTTTGAAAGTATAAGGGTCTTGGGGGACAGCTAAATACAAGCCATAACCCAAACCTAGACTCAGGATTTAATGGCACAAGAGAAATGAGGCAGGGATTCATGTGCCAGAAATTACACAGGTTATTTGAATATGTGGAAAGACCATATGAAACTGAAGAACTCATTCAGCAGGGTGGGCTTAGGTTGGACTGTTTACCATTGTCTTTAACATTCTGTTCTGTATAACATGTTTTTATAACGTTTTTTCCAGATGGAATGGGAAAATTAAAGCTATTTACAGAAAATAAGAGCAAATGCATAAAATTTTGTTAGTGTAAAAAATACTTCTGTAACAATAGGTAAATTGAGCAGTATTACTGGATGCAAGATCATTGTATTCATATTTTATATAAGCAATGACCAATTAAAAATTGAAATAAAATGGTATAATTTAAAGTAGTATTAGAAAATGTAGATCAAATGGGACAAAACTGACAAATGATGTACAATATCTGTACAATGACAACTACAAAAAATTGAAAAGGTAAATTAATGAAGACTAAATGAATGGAGGCTATCAACCTTGTTTATTACTCAGAAAACTGAAGCCTCATCTCTGAACACATTACATTTTTGAGGGATATTTTGGGTGAAAACCATGACAAAGCACAACCTTAATCCCTGGTCACTTCTGCTCTGACACTGTTCCCCTGCTGTACTTTCTGACTGCCATAAATTGAGCAGTTTTGGTAAACCATGTGTTTTACTATACTGTTTCTGTTTTGAGGCCAGTAAATGAAGAACTGAATACCCTGAAACCCTGGGCCAAAATAAACCTCTTCTTCAAATTGTAGGTGTGGGGCATTGTGTCTCACTGACAGAAAAGCTCAATAGTACAATTTAGATTGCACTAAATGTATCAATATATTTGTGAAGAATTGGTACTATATTTGTAAGTAATAGTGCCTGCATGACCCACACAGACACATCCCAAAGTGTGCTTTACTAATTTTATAGGTGGCTTACAAGTCAATCAAATTAAAAATTAAGCCTAACTGTGACACAAATCAAAATTCCAAAAGATTTCCATAGAAATGGAAAACTAATTCTAAAATTTGGATAAAAATCCAAAGAATTTAGAAGAGCTGAAAAAATCTTTTAAATATAGGGCAAAGTTGGAGGCATTACCTTACTTGAAGGACTATAAACTGACAACAATCAAAATAGTTTGTTAACCCTAGAAATACATTAGTGGAACAGAATGACATTCAAGAATCACTCCACATGTGTATGCACATATAGACAACTAATTATGGTAAAGATGGAAGTGAAGATTAAGGGAGAGAAAGTATAATTTTTTGTTTTTTTTTTTTATTTTAGAAATAAAAGGAGGAAAATACTAACAGAC